AATATATTAATAACAATAAAATCGACTTAATTTTTATTTTTTAAGTTAATATTTCCACATTCAAATTTATTTTGATGAAATGGGGTTGTAAATTGAAACTGAAATTTAAAAAAAAAATTACTTCCCAGCTGAACTATTTACTAATTAACAAGATTAACAATTTATTTGCTCTGATCAAATTCAAATCAGGATTGTTTTTAAAATCTACCTTTTAGGAGAGCCGACATTTTTATGGATTGAAATAATTAAAAGGAGAAGAATTTAATAAAATAATTTTGTTATAACATGTGCTGATATATTAAAAACAAAAATTAAAATAAATTTTACTGAATGAAACAAAAGCTTTAAAAAATGCCGCACGTTATGTTATATTTTCTTATTTATTTTTATTTTTTCTAATTTGGCCCACTTTTTTAGCTATGATATGACAGAAAGCCCCGTATATATACTTTTTGCAAGTCTAGGAAATATTTCAAAAGTCTCGGTCTGCACCTGTGGCCGCCAGCTGATGGTCATCGAGAGCGAACCTATTCAACACCCACTTGGGCCGGCGATTCAAGTGTGCAGGCCGGTCAGTTTTCCCTCCTCTCTCGGCGTAGACACGCATCACACTTTCGCACAGCCATAAAGCCGTCGTCCGTGGGTCTGTATCTATCTATCTCATCATGCAATTTTTCCAGATTTCTGCCATGTAGACGGCGCCGCCGATCGATATGTTATGTCGCTTGTGCCAAGCGGGCTGCGGCTCGCAGGGGTGGAAAAAAAATATATAATCCAGCACGCTTGCTTTTTCCCTCAACGCCGCGAGTCCAGCTGCGGTGTTAAATTTAAACTGCGCCGCTCGAACCGGCGTGTCAAAGGCGGCCAGGATGGGTTCATTGGAAAGGAAAAGGAAAGAAATAGCAACGAGAGTCGCGCGAACTGACGGCAGGTATAAATGACGCGAGAAATTATTATTGCGAGCCTTCAAACGGACAAGCACGTGCTCCGGTTGGCTACAATCAAACTAGCCGAAACTATAAGTGCGATATTAAAAAATTGTTTAAATGAAAATTTCAGAAAAATCAATTTAAATTTTAAATGAGATTAAATAGCAATGATAATTAAATTATGATTATTGGTAAACTGATGTCAAATCAATTTAATAAACATTTTAAGATTTAATTAACAATTTGCTGCATTTTTATTTGCCAAAGTGCTGAGAATGACAAACTCTGGCAAGTAGGTATCGCATTCACATTAAGGTGTTTTTGTTAACCAAGTTATACGGAATCACTTAATTAATCCTATTAAAAGTTGAGCTTGCTTTTGAACCCCTGCCACTAACGGATGAATAAGGCATTTTATGAACTTCGCAAAAGAGACCAAAACACATTTTATTAAAAACTTTTGCTGACGACATGAGCATGTGCATGGAAATGCGGTTACAAATCTCCACACAAACCAAAGTGTCATCTATAAATCATGGTTTTTGAGGATATTCAATTTCTCGCGCCTTGTGACAAGTCATGTCGGTCAGTTATTATTGGATTCGTTTGACGTTGTTGAATCTGGGTAACACCAATATAATTATGTCTTTTTATACTGTTTTTAAATGTCATAAAAATGATGAATTCTTCCAAAATAAAACTTTCCAGTCCATAGCTATGCTTATGTACTTGTTTTCAAATTTCTAATTATATAAAAAATAGCTGCATGAAATCCACAATGATAATTTCTTAAATTGCGTGATTATCCATATCAATCAAATTAAAGTTCAATATTTCTAAGATTATTCATACAATTGCAAGATAAAATTATTTAGAATGAATGCTTTATATATTTATTTTTAATTATTTCATCAAAATATGGTATTATTTTTTCCAACTTTTAAACATTTTTTTCTTTCGCCTTGAATTATTTATTTGACTTTAAAATTAAAAGGTCTGCTCTTCCCCCTCTTCGTCACTTCCTTCTGGGACGGCGTTAATTACTGGCAATTAGCCCCTTCCTAATTAAAGCCTGTTGGAATCTGAGTGTTTCAATTTAAAAGAGTCGCCGCCTCACGCTCTCTCGTCGCCGCGCTCGGTGTTGCGGCTGTTGCTCTTTTTCTCTCTCTCAAGTCGTTTGCTTTTTAATCAGCAAAACTGCTCTCGGGCGCGTCAAGACAGAAAGTGACACTGCGCGCGGGACGGGCCGTAATTAAAATAGCCTCTGAAAGCATCTCGGTAATTAAGCCGGTTAATTTCTCCTCTTCGGCGCTGGCGGTTTTTAATTATCACGCGCGGCCAAGAGCAAGGCGCGTGGTGACGAAAATAGCCAGCACAGAAAATCAAGGGACGTTTAAATAAATGAGTAAAAAGAGGACAATTTTCTTTTAATTTTTCTCTTCTCGCGAGACGCATGCTAATATAATTGCCAACCGCGGTCTTAATTTATGGAGTCGGCATTAATTATCGGTGGGGCTACATCGTACTTAGCGCGATTTATCCTGTCTGTTGTGATGTTTGGATAAAAATTTAACTGCCCGCCGCCCCACAGGGGGTGCTGTTCTCTCGCGCCAGCCTCAAATGAGATGCAAAACAGCAGATTTTTCATCTTGCATCTCGTCTTGTGCGCACAGACAAATTTACGACGGCCAGGAATTCGCTCGTGAATGGCGCGATAATTAAGCTTGAGGAGAGATGGAAATCTGAAGAAGAGGCAAAATGTAATGCAAAAATTTTGAATAATGAATTCTAATTTTTTAAAGAATTAATTTGCTTTTGATTAAAACCGTAGTATTTATTTAAAAATTAAATTGCTTCCAAACTGATTTGAAAGGAAATAAGAAATAATGTAGCTCTAGCAATCATCAATTTATATAATAAAATTTAGTAATTTTTTAAAATTCATTATAAATTTACAAAATTTAAATTTATATAAATTAAATAATTTGTAATTATAAATTGACCTCATAATAATGATAAACCTATTTTGTGAGCAGATCTTAGTGTGAACTTGCGCCTTTGAAAATTTAGTTTGGGGGAATGACTTGAGCCCGCGCGAATAAATAATTAAAGTCGGTTGAGTTAATTCCAATTACAGTTCCAGTCGAGCGTCACCGAGTGTGATTAAAAAAGTTTCTCTCCCGCTTCTCTCTGTGTCCCCGGCAAAGGCGGAAAACGCGCGCTGATTTGATATTTATGATGACGTCAGTGCTAATTAAGATTCTTTCCATTTGACCACATCATGAATACGTTATGAGCCGAGAGCGAGGGAAGCTGGGAGGGGTCTTGGAAAAAACGTGGCCGGAGCAAAAATTAGATTAAGACAAAAGTTAAAATGGAATTAAATTAGAAAAGCTCAGGTCCGGTTTGTGTGTTTGTGGCTGCAGCAGCCCTCGCTCGGTTTTAATGTGATTATTCTGGTGGCCAGGCTGTGCGTTGTGCCGCTGGAAAGAAGGAAAAAGACAAAAGTCAGCCACCGTCATAAAATAAACAGCAGCTCGGGCGTCTTGAAATTAAATTTAATTATGGAAAGACGCCCCGGCGCGGAGGAATTAAAAAGAATACAAGAGAGGAAGGGAAAAAAAATAAGAGACGAGGAGTTGAATCTGTTGTGTTGCAAGAGAGTATTCCATCACGGATATGGAAATTAAAAATTTATAAATAAAAAGATTGGGAGAACAGAGAGCTGAGCTGGAAAGAAGCTCTAAGGAAAATTAATTTCAAAAGTAAAAAATTGTCACCCAGAGCTAGTTTGCACACCCCTCATGTTTAATTGAAAAGAAACAATAAATAATTTAATATAAAAAAGGGATAGAAAATTATATTCCGCACCTTAAAAAAAAAATAAAAAATAAAAAAATAAACTGTTGAAGAAATATAATTGTAATTAGTGATAAAAATTATATAAGAGTCATTGGAATGGTCAAAACTGAAGGAATTGATTTTTGTTAAAAACCTTTTCTTATAAAAGTTTGATTACAGAAATTTATATCTTATAATTGGTCAAATAAATTATTTTTACTTTGAAGTAATGGTCTAATCCAATATTATTTAATTAAAAAAAAAAATTAATATTAATTTCAGTGAAATTTCGGTAGAGGATATTGTTTGACAAACCCTAATCTCATCTCCTCTGGCGTGGTAATATATTTTGGTGGATATTTTTTTATTGAATGGGCTATTCACGAAACTGCAGGCTGGGGGACACCGATTTTTAATTTTGTTTTTCTTTGTGTTGTCACTCAAAAAGCATCGTCTCTTCTTTTCAACCAAGAGACACAATTCTGCCGCGCGTCTCATAAAACACCTGGAAGGAGAAGCGCGGCAAAAAGGATCACCATAAAAGAGCGAGTGTAAAATTTTTAAACAAGAATCGTCATAAAAAAAGGTAATCAGGATTAATTTCTTTGTGCAGCAACCGAAGCCGGATTGGAGGCGGACGAATAATGAGTTTGGAACTGTTAAAAAATAAATTCCCTGTTCCACCCACAGCTCGCCAGAAGCCGTCGGAGGAGGAGGATGGGCGAGTGAACAATAACGAAAAAATTCTTGGGCAATCATAAAAGCGGGCTTAAAGGAGAGTTTTGATGGACGCATATAATTAAAAATTATAATAATAAATTTATTTATACGATTTTTTCTCTCTCTCACTCGACTCGACATATCTCACGACTCGGAATAATAATAAGAAGGCATTAACACGATCCTGATGCGCGCGGCTAGAGATTTAATTTTTGTGAAGGCAACCTTTTTAATCGCATAATGAATATCTGACTGAGATTCTTACATCTGATTAACTCCATGACATTGGGAACAATAAGACCCGTACAGGAGGCCCCTTTTTGCCTCGTCACTCTCCCGACTGCCTGACCTTTTGTCCGGCCGAGCTCTCGACAAAATTTCTACATTTTTCATTCGGCGAGAAACACACGTGCTGCAAATTTATGGCCATTTTATTGTGCTTCTTCTTTTTTAAGTCGCGAGTTTAATTTTTTCTCCACGCTTTAATTCTGAAGGGAATTAATTACTTACGAATTCAGCTGCCGAGCCAAAAGGCCATTAAAGGCGTGGTGCGAGAAAAGAGCCAAGCTCACCTCCTGCAACACAAGAAGAATTAAATTAGACTCAAATCCGGCGGTGTTGCGAAATTATCATTATTTTTTTTTTTTCGTACAAGGTCTTTTCTTAATTTTTAATTCTCGGGCCGGGTCGCTTTGATATTACGGTGCGCGCAATCACGCTTCTGATCCAGATTAGAAACGTCATTATTTAATTTGTGCCGGCGGAGGAAGTTGGTGTTTAGATGACAATTGATTCTGCTCGGCTATCAGCAGCGGCTTGTGTATTAGTGCAGCAACCCCTATGTGTTGTGTGTGTAGCCGCCGCTAAATGCTTTAGTTAGTTAGCCGCTCCGCTTAAGACAACCCCTAGACAAGTACCGTCGACAGGGGTGCCAATTTACCAAATGATAAAGGAAATAGGCTTCAAATAATTTTACAAAAAAGAAAGAACTTAATTTTTTTTTTAAATTTATTAGTTCTAACAATATATTGTAAAACTAGTATTCTTTTAGATTAAAAATTTCCAATTTATTTTTATGGAAAAAGAGAAAAATAAAAAATTAATAATTAAGAGGATTTGGAACAGATTTCATTTCAATTTAAAAAAAAACTGTTAAAGGAGAATGGAGAGATTTGAAGCAAATTTGTGTAATTTTGCAAACATTCTGCAAAAAAGCCATTAATTGCAAAATGTATTCAACAATTAGTTTTATTGTTGTAGCAATCGTTTCCAACAATGCCGATATCAGTAAAATTAAACTTTGATTTTGAATTCTTTTTAGCAGTTAAACGAGTAAAACAGTTTTAAAAAAAAGTCAACTGACCAGCTATACTGAATAAAAACCTTAATGGTTTTTTAATAAAATAAAATTATAATAATTTTATATCAATTGATTTAAAATTAAAAATCATATTGACTGGAGATATTGATAAAATAAATGAATTTCGTCTTCTCCATACATAAAAGTTTTCAACAATCTTTGATGAATTATTTAGGCTTTCTGGGAGAAACGGGAATTTATGAAAGTCCCACAGTCGGTCACGGAGCTTGGAAATTTCCGGGTGTTTTAAAATGATTAGTTCTGGAGCCGGCGGAGCACCCTTGATGACGGTATATGCGAGAGCGGACATAAAAGATTTGGCCGGCCGCGCGCACAGCTTCCAGGGGGTTCGCACGAAAATCAGGGATTCTCGTCACGCGCCCGTGTGAGAAACCACGCGGACGCCACTCGGGCTCTGATGGAATAAAACAAAAGCCAGAGAGGCTCCTCCCTTAAGACAAACCAGTCCCGCGATAATAAATAAATGGCAAATAAATGAGGCTAGGCGACAGCGCAGACGAAATTTGACTGACGGCACTTCTCGGCGCTTTTGTGTTTTATATATTTAATTTCGCCGCCGCCGACAATAATCGAATTAATTCTCATTAATGCACGCAAAATGTATCCTCGGAATATTCAATTAGCTTCTCTTTGTCCGGCCGTGCCATAAATTAGCCGCCTCTCTGCAGACTCGATTTTGCTGAATTCGCGAACTGCTTCTGCTTTCGATACGTACGGCGGCCCTTTTCTGAATGTAAATTTTTCCGCCGGTGCCGTCGCGCGTGTTTGCGCCGCGCAATTCCAGAGATGAATTATTGCCCCAATCAGAATCGCATGTGCGGAAAATTTTTGATTGCTTACATTGTGCGTCGGCCAAAACAAAATCGATATAACTCCTCTGGATTTGGAAAATAATAAAAAAGTAAAATACAATAACGGACAGGAAGCGCCGCGGTGTTTTTTTTCGCACAATTGTCACGAGTTGATATTCTTATGAGAATCATTATTGCCTTTACTGTATATTTAATTTGACCTGATCACCTAATATCGTTGAAAATGTATATTTATATTTTTTAGTGGAAATTTCTGAACTTTTAAATTATTTAAATGAATTAAGCAGTATTGCGGATACAATTGATTTTTGTCTTTGTTTGTTGTAAATAATGTATTTTTTTTAAACATTATAGAGGCAATATCTGTCCATATCATTGCTCATTATTTATTTATAAAATTATTTATTAATTATTTATTTCAAGAACTAAATTTTGAGTTTATTTTATATTGAGTTTTTATTACTATTTCATTAAATAATTAATAAAAGTATATTTTTAATATTTAAAGTTTACGTATTTTGTGTAAAGTTGTATTCGACTGACGCCAAATTTAGGTTACTAAATATTGAAAATATTTATCTTTAGCTTAATAATTTTCTAATTTTTATATAAATGTTAGCCACCAGTTTTCACCATGACAATGAGAGGAAACTTTGCTACATCCTCGGCAAATTTTGAGCATATGTTTCTGTTCGGTTTAAAAAAAAAACATTTAATTGGATAAATAAATTAAAATATGAAAAACCAGAATATTAAAAAGATTTGTAAATTGTCTATTGAAAATATTTGAATGGATTGACCAAATCACCTGTACCTTTTTATTGAATTTCTTGCTACCCCAGTGCCCTGCAAGCATCACAAATAGCGTAATGGGCCATGTTCGTCCCCTAAACAGCTCTCGCGTGAAGCGGGGGATGATCTCTCTGGCTCACCCCACGCTGATGTGCATGTATTTGAGTGTGTGTACCGCAGTTGTCCACGCGGTCGGTCGGTCTCCAGCCAGCAGCAGCCAGCCAGCGTGTTTATTACAAGCCGTGTGTGTTGTGACACACAGACGACCGCAAAACGAGACCAGAAACAACGTGCATTCCAAAACCACGTTATTTATCACACACACATTCTGCTGCTATATAGCTTGGCGAGGTGTATTTATTTTTTTGTGCGTTCGCGCAAAACACACACGAGCAGAAAGAGCAAACGACAGAGAGAGGAGAAGCTCTCAACTGCGTGTACACTCAGATATGGACCACTTTTTGCACGCGATCCAAACTCAATTTTAAAGAGGATCATAGCACACCCAAAAAAAACGGAGACTTGTCGAAACCAACGACATCTGTTGTGATACAGATGAACTATGCACTCTGAATTTATAATTTACTATTATTAATTTTTCATATACACACAAAAAATTGATTCATTAATTGGCCTTTTCATCTTATTAAATAAGGACTTCAATACCCATTACATTGGACAAATTCTGAATTTAATAAAATAATTTTTTTAAACAAAATTTTTAATAATAACTTTCATAAATTTATGGAGAATAATGAATTATGTAAACAATGTTGAAATGTGATTCTAACTTTATTTAGAAGGATCGAATAGTTGTTTTTGTATATTAAGATGTAATAATTCTCCTTTAATAAATGTTTAAATATAATTATTTTAAATTTTCCTGCCAGTTTTTAAATTAAATTGTTAATTGTAAAGGTATTTATACTCAGTAATTTCCGCTTTAATTTTAAAATATCGTTTGATTCTTTAACAAAAGAAAATACGTTTTTAATTTTAGGCCCAAATTTTCAGCAACATCCCGTTTTCAGTGTCGCTGTTACAGTTTTGTTTGAAACCTGCAAACATTAAAAGATAATCAGTCTGGTTTTATTCCCTGTATGGTCAGTTTGTGTATGTAATTTAATGTGATAGCCACACATGTTGCACTAATTAAATTAATTAGCACCAACGGAAAGTCAATCAACCGCATTACAGCGGACATTAAAGCCCTTTTCCGTATACAATGTAATGTTATTATATAAAACTGGCCTGCTGCAATTATTGCAAAGCGCGCAACAAACGGTCAGATCCTTCAAGCAGGAGTGGATTCTATTAAGCGGCGCAATCAAGGGCTCATCAGAATGCAACGTGCGTCCGAAAGCGCAACATAAATAAATGCGCTGCTCTTTCTTTTGGAGGCACATCATAGGGTACTATGGCTGTGTGCGTGTAATAAGTAATATACTTGCTGTGAGAAGGAGGCAACTTATAATAAAATACACCCCGCGGCCGGATGATTCTTAGAAACACAACAAACGATACATTTAATTATGTGGACAAGTGCCAATTCGCTGATCAATATGCTCGCTGCACACAAATATGGCGCTCAAAATTAGCCGCGCGCTCGTTGCTGAGTGAGCTCCGGCCGCAGAGATAAAAAAAAAATAAACACATATATACACCAAGCCGGATTTTGGCACACTGTTTTGACAGACCGATTTTATCTGCGCACTCGGACTTTCCCGAAAGATGAGAAAAACGTAGATTTTTTTAAACAATCGTTTGTGAATAAAATATTAGATCTCAATTAATCTTTATACAAAATTCAATGAAGTATATTTTGATTAATTATTAAAAATTTTGATATTTATTTCACGCTAATCACACCTTTTACCATTAATATTAATAATAAAAAATGAATACCCGAAATCCAAAATAGATATATTTTTAAAGAACCCAATTTTTTTTAAACAAAAGAGTTACTCTTTAAATATAATTCTAGATTTTTATTATCTTTCAAAAAATATATTAACATGTAGTTAATGAGAGTATCAAGATTTGGTTAAAATTAAATTTAAGAAGGAACTCAGTTTCTTATTTATTTCTAATATCAAACAGATTTTGCATTAACAAATATAAGATAAATTTTTCTCCTTTAATTTTCAATGCCTCAAAGCGATGCACGACGTGCCCGAACATTCCAGCAGAGAAATCTGTGGCAATTAAGTATAACTGCAATTCACAATAGCCTAATTTTTCGCCCAGAGCTGCAGATTCACAATTTATATCTATCCGAGCAATTTGGCAGGCGTACACACTGGGGCCGAATTAGCATCCACGGCGCATAAACTAACGCAACCTCGATCTCGTTGCGGAGAGTTCTGCACGTTATGTACATGTTCAACGGCAATAAAGAAAAAAAAATCGGTGAGGAAGAAGACGAAGAAGTGTGCATGATTAAGAGCCAGCTGAATATTCATATCCACCGGCCTATTAAGAGTGATTAGCATTGTGTTGGTCTCTCTGAGGCCGGGCTGCGCTGCCGCTTGATTTATGCCCCATAATGCCCCATAATCAGCGTCAATAATAACAATATTGTTATTATATA